GTTTTTCAGGAAAAGCAAAAAACGAAGAAAAGATGGGAACATCTATCCCAGTACAATTAGCTGAAATCTAAGTTGAATCTATTGTTCAGAGCCTAACTTTGCCCTCAAGTTTCAGATGCCTGAAGAGCCTACCTTGATTGTCTTCAGGTCTAGTCTAGAGTCAACTTGTTTCCACTCTAAATGTGAAGTAAAATATGTAAAAAAGTCATTTCTTGGCCATTGCTGTTTTGATGCGTGGATTATTTATACTAAATCTTCCATTGCATAATGATCTCTACACATTCACCTTATCCTTCGTATGCTGTATTTAGATACCATACTGTACTTCTCTGACAGTTGATGATTTTGTCTTATATAAATGTATGTGCTTCCCATTTGAAGAAGAGAGAGCCAAAGATAAAACATTCTGGTTTTGTTGTTAAAAACACGTACTGTGTTGCAAAAAATACACTCTAATGGTTTTAATTTCACCTTAATCTTAAAAGCGTATGACATTTTGAGTACTGCTGGTATTTAGACCATTTTTAGGAAGAGAAGTCATCTCTCCTATGAGGAAAGGTTGAGGGAACTGGGCTTGTTTAGCCTGGAGAAGAGAAGGCTGCAGGGAGACCTCATTGTGGCCTTCCAGTACTTGAAGGGAGCAGATAAACAGGAGGGGGAACGGCTGTTTGTGAGGGTGGATGGTGATAGGACAAGGGGGAATGGTTTTAAACTGAGACAGTGGAAGTTTAGGTTGGATATTAGGAGGAAGTTTGTCACCCAGAGGGTGGTGAGGCACTGGAACAGGTTGCCCAAGGAGGCTGTGGATGCCCCATCCCTGCAGGCATCCAAGGCCAGGCTGGATGTGGCTCTGGGCAGCCTGGGCTGCTGGTTGGCGACCTGCACATAGCAGGGGGTTGGAACTGGATGAGCATTGTGCTCCTTTCCAACTCAGGCCATTCTGTGATTCTATGATTCCATGCAGACCACCTTGAGCACAGTTTTGGAGCTAATCAGTGACTGATGACCTGCAGAGCTCAGAGAGGATATAATCACTTTAAGTGGCATAATTTGATAGAACACAGATTGATGAATCCAGTAGTGAGGTAGAGGGCACAACTGAATAACCACTGGAGAGGGAAATGACTGCTCACTCACTGAATTTTTCTACTTTTAGAGCAGGAAGATTTGCACTCTTTATAGCCCATCAGCCATAGGAAATAGTTCTATTGCTGCGTGATGGTAATCTGATTCTGGTATACGTTTTAGAATCAATCTTCAATAACACAGTCACACCTAGGCCTGGCTTAGCAGAGGCTGACTAAGGCTACATAGAAAAGAGCATTGCTTATGAAACACATAATGCTGCTGGCCCATTAAACATCATCTCTAACACCAGTGTATTTTAGGTACTGTTTTAACAGTTTCTAAGCACCTGTGCATTCCTGCTACAAACTGTCCACGTTAAAGGAAAGGTCTCATTTACACGATACACATAAACCACATAGTTTTCCTTGCTTTCTTCTAAAGACAACTTTTTCCTTTAGGAAAAAAGTTCATCTTCAGAGGAACTGGACACAGAGGAAGCAGTTGGCTTTGCACTACAGCTGTGAGGCATCAGATAGGTGCCTCTTGAAGAGTAGCAGCAAGTCAGAGCCTTGGGAGTAGCTTACAGGCATGAGTCTGCAATTCTAGAGTTATTAGGAATTACCACAAGCCTTAGTGTAATAACATAGAGCACTGGGATCTCAGCATCACAGTGGGCTTAGCTGAGGAATTGCAGGTATCCACCTTTTATTCCTTTATTCTCTCTTTTTTCCTCTCTGGATTTTGAACATCTTAGCAGAAAGGAAGACTGAGACTTAGCAAACTTGATAATTCTGAAGTATAGACTCTGTTCCTGACGATATCTAAACCTTTATCAAGGACTCTCTTAAAAGCAATGAGTGTGACACTGTGGAAAACTATGAAATGAGTGTCAGAGGTTTCTCTTTTCCAACCCCCTGATTTTAACACAGTCATAAACATGGCTGATGTTCGGAATGTCCAGAATTATGTTACCAAAGCTATTCTTTAAGAAATGTCCCAGAATACTTTAATCCTAATGGACTTTCATCTGATGACAGTCTAGCCAGTTACATTGTGGGATTGCTTTGATTTAGAGCTGCTGCTTGAGAATCAAGGCAGTCCAGTAAGTTAGAGTGTATTGCCCAAGAGATGGGAGGAGATGGGGGGGAGCTATGTTCTCCTTTCAGTCTAAAGGATCAGCTTGTGTTACTTTGCACTTTGTAGTGGCTAGAAGTGTAGCAGGCTAGAAAAATGACTTATTGAAAGCAAATGAAAGCAATCTGATTCATTTTAAGTGGACTGAGGAAAGATGAGAGGCATTTTGTCTAATTCTACTTGTGTCCCATTATATCTACATTGTACAGAAATCTATACTGTTATATACCTTAATCACTTTAATTATTAATACCAGACTGCTAAATTCTGGGGATACATGATAACTCCTCTCTGGGGAGCAAAATTCCTAACTGTATCCCTGCAATGGTAATTGTATGTTAAGATCTACTTTGCACAGTGTCATTATTGGACTTTTTTGATAAATTTGATTGGCTCTAGTTAGATCAGTGATTTAAATCTACCATACACTGTCTTTCCTTTTAAGCAGAAAAAAATTAAGCAGTCAGTCTTGTCATCTGTCATTTTCTGTAAACCTCCCATCCCCTTTTCCCCAGCCAATTGCACTGTGGAGGTTCTTGGATTATAATAATCTTTTATAGTACTCTCACATTCTGTTCTCTAAGACATAATAAAAGATTTGTTCCAGGCCATTCATCAAAAGTGTAGCAACTCCATCAGTTACCAGCAGATGCTAAACATCAGTATTCTGCAAGTGAATGTACCAAGCAGATGATCATAGGCTCAAGTCTCGTGTATTACAAGAGTTTAGTCCAACACACTTGTACTCTCAAATGGCTGAAATAATCCTCAGGATATGAGGAGGCTGGAGCTCAAAGTTATTGTTATCCCTGTGTGGCTGTGGTAGCGCTGTTTTTGAAATTATATTAGAATGAATCAACTGAGAGATATTTTAGAGAGGACTGCTGTAACAAGAAATAAAACATACATGCCCATTCATCCTGTAAGAATGTGTAAATGCATTCATGTACAGGTACTTGTACAATTTATTTTGCTCTTAAAAGAGTAGACCATACACTGTATTTTCAAGTATATTATACTACTGCATGTGTGTTATGCATTTGCTTTTCAACAAATGTTTTCAGGCATTTTTTTTTTCAAAACATCCTGACAAATACAGCAAACAGTAGCTGTCTCATCAGCAATATATATATATTGCTGTCTGCCTGCTACTCCTTCCCTTCACTCCTGTTATCTTGATAAAGGTGTTGTTCAGAAGAACCGAGCCTTCATTTCTTCCATGACAGAAAAAACTGCTCGCACAACAAGCAGCAGCCTGAAAAACTATGTTCACGCCTTGACCTTGAAACTTCCTGAACCAGTTTGGATTGGCTCTCCCCTTGAAACAACAGGCTTCCACAGGAAGTTCATAAATGGACCCAAGTCACAGCAATTTACGTAGTTTTAATATTTTTAACTTGGTTCTACAAGATCTACCCAAAATGGGCGGTGTTTCATGGACACAAAGAACTGGCCAGTTTTTCCAAGACAAAACATCAGTGAGCCGGGCTCAATGCAAACCTTTAAATCAGTGTGACTAATAGACTGTCAGACCCTGCTAAGGCAGCTTCTGCCAGGCACCGTTGTGGGGATATGGCAGTGTGCTGTGAAGCTGCTCTGTACTCCATGTTCCAGTGCCAGCACCACTGGCATTCCCAGCACTGGAGGCAACCCACATTCCAAAGAGCTAAGCCACAGGTCTGCATCCCAAACTCCCCACCTTCAGGCACATTTACTCCTCCCTTCCTCCAATTCTCGCCTCACAAAAAGACAAAGTGCAGTACATCACTCTTGACTTTGAAACAGTCTGCAAGACTCTGATTTAGACGTTTTAAAGACAATTCTTTCACTCCTCAAGTCTGAAATATCTTTAAAGATCTTCATCTTCTTCACACATGCTAACAAAATGTGACTGCATTAAAGACATTGCTTTTCATTCATTTGCTTTGCACCTTGTTTTCTACCTGTTATCATGAACTTAATGGAAAATACCATTCTTATTTACATCTCTGCACTCCGATGATTATATGCTATAATCTGTCAGTAGGAACATAATGACAGAATATCAACTCAACAGTCTTGAGTGCATTACCCCTATGTAACTATGAAAAGAAGCAGTTTTGAAACATTTTCTTGTTAGCAAATAAACTAATGGCAAGGGGAATGACTGTTATCCATGCTAGCTATGCATATGATTTTAGAAAAGCTATTTAATTTGTTCAGAAATCTGCGGCTCTATCAAACATCGATAGTGACAGACTTTAAGGCAACTTATAAAATTAATTGTATAGCCTAGCTTTTTCATGGTTTGGAATTTTCTGGTCTGTACTTAACTGATGCACCTTGAAAGACGAATTATATATATGAAAATAAATTCACACACATACTGTTACTTTGAGGAATAAAATGATGCAAGATCCCTTCAGGCAAATATGCACTTTTTTTCCATTCCGTTAAGCAGTCAGAAGCATTTCTTACTAAAGAACAAAGCATGCTTCACCCCAATCCTCCCATACCCAAGAAAACCACAGAAAGATTCATTGGACAAACCAGATATTTTAAAATGTTCTTTGGCTTGTAGTTACAAACCATAAGATCTAGATCTAGTCATCTTCCTGGCATGCATTTACAAGGTATAGAGTTAATTTGATGTCTATTTTTTCCTCGTAAAAGTTTATTTCGTTCTCTTCCAATATTGCTTTTCAACATTTTCTGTGAGGAATATGAGGTAAGCAACATGGAGGATCTGCCTACAGTAAGGGATGCCTTGCTTCTTTGGCCAAAACTAGCAGGTCTTACATAACAATTTATTACAGTACCTTTCTGTTTCCTGGTCCGTGGTTTGCTGCTTGTTCTCAAAGCCAGTGAAGCTGCTCATATCCACATAGCCGTCATTCTCATTAGCAGCAGATAAGGCCCTGCTGGGATCTTCAAAAAACTCAGTGAAAGTTCCTGCTCTGGTGGATCTTCGAGGAGGAATTTGAATATTTTCATAGTCGGAGCTCATAGCTGGAATGTTCTCATACTCAGAAGTGTCAGCATTGGGAAAAGAAATTGATCTAGGTTTTGTTAATGGGAGTGGCATGAAAGGAGGTCTGGACCGGTCCTCAAAGGATTCCACCCGTGACACGCTCCTGCTGAAGGACTTGGGTGTTCCTTTTCTCTTACCATCCTTATAGAAAAGAACAGTTGAGGGAGACTCGGACGCACGGAGCTTCCCCACATGTGACTTCAGTTGAGGTGAGCTACTCAGAGTCCTGTCCAGCTCCATCAGCCTTGGAGGCCCATGATAACTGGACTCTGATGAGGACCTCGAAGAGGAAACATTAACATCTACATGGATTTTATTTTCAGTTTTCTTCTTGAATTTTAGAGTGAGAAATCTCTTAAAGGAAGATTTCTTTTTCTTGGTATACTTATCAGGTGACTCACTCTCTATCAAAAGCGAAGGAGAACTTTTAGTGATTGGCTTTTTGGTGATGTAGGCAAGTTCAAAAGGAGGTGGTATATCAACAACTGAAGATGGAGTAGATACAGCACCTGATGAAAGATTTCCCTGGGAAAAGATATGTGAGGAACCATTGACACAAGGCAAAGATAAGTTGTCTTCAGTCTTTTTCATTCTAATATCACTGAGTACACAGCCATCACCCTCTTTGTAAATGGAGACAGGTATCTCTCTCCCTTCAACAGAATAAGACCGAGGATATAAAATAAAGCGTCTTGGCTTGGATGGTAATGCCTTGTTGTCTTCCATTGTTTTTCCTTCCACTGAAAATGAATTATTACTTAAGTCCTCAGTCCCAGAACTGTTGCAGGAAGGTGGTAAATCAGTTTCAGGACCACCTTCTTCTGGAACTGTTTCTGGCACGTAGCCTGGCATTTTCCCAGAGAGTGACCGTGTTCTAGTGACAATGCTTTTACGATCAATGGGCAGTAAGTTGCTTTCACCATCCACGGCTAATTCATCCCTTTTACTGTGAACAGCTCCTGAATCAGTCTGCCCTTTATAAGTGAATTCATTTTCTGCAGGAAGTACATAAGGGTCATCTAGGGAATCACTGCCAGTTTCTCTTCTCTCTGTTTCTTCAGGCACAATGACTACTTCAGGGAGTGCTAGATTTTCATGCAAGACATTTTTGGTCCCATGTTTTACATTCATTTTACCAAGCTGACAGACTTCTATCTCTCCCTTATGTGGGAGAGATAGTTGAGATGGACTTAGGACACTTTTTCTGAGACTCTCTGTTTCTACCTCATTTCCTTCAAGTTGCAACTCGTCTGACTTAGAGGTTTCCGCAATGCTTTCATTATGTTCTTCAGCAGACATATCTTCTGGCTTTGGCTCCATCCCTGGACCACTAGGGAGTGTATCAAAGATCTTACCATCTTCTTTTGGGCAGGTCTTTTCTGTTTGCAGATTTGTGGGTACTTCCTCACCATCATCATTCTCAAAAGGAGCAATTTGACACCCATCATCGATACTCTCTGCATTCACAGTTTCTTCCTCTCCTTTTCCAGAGTCTTCGCTTGCTTCACAGGCTACCTCTGATGTCTCCTCACCTCTCAGGTCAGTGATCTGGCAGTCATCACTGGCATTTCCTGTGTTTATATTATTGTGCTTGTCTGTGTCTGCTTCCTCCTCTTCAGCTGCTGCTTGATGAGTGAAATCTCCCAGATCATTTTCAGTATTGGGTTCACCTTCAGGCAACTCTAAGCACAGAACTGTTTTCTCACTGGCTTCATTGGGCAGCATGTCAGGACTTGTACAGTCATCATTTTCTAACTCCTCTTCCACGTTCAAATCAAGCTCTGCATACACACTGTGATCACCATCATGTGCTGGACATCTATCTCCCTTTCTTAAAATCTCAGGCAGTTCCTCCTCTTCCTCCTCCTCTGACTTCTCCAAACTTGGGATTAATTCAGCTGCAGTTAGTGGTGTTAGAATGATATCTTCACAGACATTGCCCTCATCTCCATTCAAAATGTTATCACCATCAGTCTTACTATCATCACTGTCCTTAACCAATTTGAGATTGTTAGAAATTTCTTCCTCGCTTTTGGTTTCACAACAATCACCTGCAACATTCTCATCTTCATCTACATTCTTAGATACGTCATTATTCCCACCAGTGGCATCGGAGGACTCTTCACAAAATGCTTCAGATTGGCCATAGTCTCTGGTTGATGATACACAGTCTGGTTTTATTGGTTCAGCAATATCTGAAAAGTTATGGTGCTTGATTTCTTGATGGTCAGCACCCACATGATAAGGAATGTTATCTTCATCCTTCTCTGCCTGTTCTGGAATTTCCAAGACTTCATTCTCTGCAAAGGAATCTAGGCTCTGACCATGCTCGTGTTCCAAGTCACTGCAGTCTTCAATGGTCAGCTGAGTTTCAGGAAGTACAATATATTCATTATCTGCCTCAGATTCTGGGCACTCAGCACTGCATTGATTTCCATCATACAACTCTCCATCAAGACAGAGAAGTTTACAATTTGAGCATTTATTTAAATTATTGTTGGTATTAACACTGGATCTGCTCTCTGTGTCAGTAGAGAGTTTTGGCTTGGGAGCAATAGGTGGTTTGGGACCCCTAGACATAGAATTTGGGTTATGAAGAATATCAGACCTTGGCAGTGAAGGAGAAAATTTGGAGATGGCTACTGGAGAAAGATGACCAATAATTTTTGGTTTCGGTGCTAGTGGTGGCTTTGTGATTTCTGGAGAAAAGAGAGAAAAGTGATATTAGTCATCTTGGTTTCTTATTAAAGCCGCCAGAACATATTCTACAGTAGACTTTTATCTTATACCAGTTACTTCTAAAGTGCAGCAAGTCCAGCCAATAAAAGACGTGTCTCTGAAAAGAGAACTCTGCAGCAGAGCAGTATGTATGTACTGTGCTTCCATGTGACACTGTAGCAATTCCAGGGAACGTGGTTTAAGGTCATAACTGAAATGAAACAAAAGCATAGCTGCAAAGAAAAAGGTGTAGAGCTGCAGAGCCAAAGATACATCACTTAAGATGGGTAGCATGGACACTTTCCTGTGCAACCTGCTCTAGAAAACCTTTTAGCAGAGGAGTTGGACTAGATGATCCCTAGAGGTCCATTCCAACCCCTATGATTTTGTGATTCTGTGAAGACTGACAATAAGCTAGTTTTCCCTCACTGTTTTTAAGACAACTTAAAAGTCATATATTAACACTGTACTCACAGTGCACTTTATACACTACAGGTATTTCTAGCTGTCTTGGTCCTGAAATTAATATTCTTTACATAACTAAATGAAATGCTGAAAAGGTGCATAAATAGGCAACAATAAGAATTCTCAATTATGAGATTTTAGATGAGATAAAACATGCAGTGTGAAGAAGCCAAAATACCAAATGATTCCAAATGCTGATAAAGAGAAGGGTTCTATTCTTACTAATATTTCCTAGCCATCAGTAGGTAATTACATGAATAATCAATCAGAAATCTTTATTTTTTTATTTTTTTAATTTAAATTAACACTCAGTGGTGGAGAAAGGGAAGATCTCCATTGTAAGGAAAAACACATGACAGGACAATTTGCCATGAGAGAGACAGGAACAATTCTTTGTGCAAAGTCATCATGTTCTATACACAGGGAACGAGGGGGCAGGATCTCAACTCAAGAGATGCCATTTGGGATATGGCCCGTGTAGATGTTTGATTAGATCTTGGGAGATATAAGAGACTTTTTTTTTTTTTCCTTGATCTTTCTAAACCTGCTGAAATTTCTTCCAATACTCACAACCATGCTCACAGTTTGGCATTCTGGTTTACTCTGAAAACAGTCTTTCTAGAATTATGAGACACAAAAGAGACTTCACTTAAGTTGAAACTGAGCTAATGATCTCAGATCAACCCAGAAGGAACGAGAAGTCTGCTCTCATGAGGCACCTTTAACATAAACTGTTAGAATTATTCTGCATATGGGGATGTATCTGACCTAGGTTCATCTGTGCTATACACAAACACAGAACTAATAGTATCACTACTACTTAACATACTTAATATACAACCATACAAATTATGAAGCTGGTTAACTAATGCTATCTAGAAGATTACATACAGAAAATAATATAACTTGTCATTTATTTTGACTAGTAGCATGTTTCAGGAGCATGCAAGTCTTGTATGCAAAGATTTACTTACTAGATAAAGCACAACATGTTGTCATTTTTAAGTATACTGTTTTTTCTACAGGGTAAATAAAACTAGTGTTGGTGATTGAACTGCAGCCAGCTTCATCAGGTATCTCTTCACATTTGCTGGGAACTCTCCCACTAAGGGGAAAGATCTCCAGGAATGAAGTAAGAGAAGGGTGGAGAACATCATTGTATGGCTGGAAGAAGGTCATCCAGCACCCTGTAATGTACTGAACAGGAGTGAGTTTAAAAGATATCGGCTGGTTAAATTGCACTGAAAGTACAGGTACTGAATGCTAAACAACTGAGAAATTCGATTTTATTATGAACTTGTTGAGTATACAAAAAAAAGCAATTTTTTCATAAGAGAAAATGATTTTACAGCATACTGTCCACTCATTAAATATACCTTGGTTTCGGAGATGTTGCAAAGGAGTTACAAAAGTTAGAGAGTTTTTGAAGACTGCTAAGGTATCTGATATGTAGGAATTAGGTAAAATGGCAGTGCGAGATGTCTTTGCTGAAATTTGCTGAAGCATTTGTATTTTTCAGTGTCCAGTATATGCTAAGAATCTTTGACACAGAACAAGCACCATGCAGGTTGTGCTGAGCACAAAAGGAGGTGTGCTTTGACAGATTTGCTTTCGTTATTTGCACCTTCACCTTGTTGTGAACATCTACAACCTGTGTGCTGATCAATCAGTTTGGACTCTAGAAATAGATGCCTTCATAGTTTTAACCTGGAAAGGAATAGCTTCACACTATCGATCAACTTCTGGGAATAGCCAAGTCAATTTTTCTAGTTCCAGGTAGTGATTACACCAGTAGCTCCGTAGAGACTTTCAGAAATCATCCTTTTTAGCATAAGATCCCTTCAGGAATGCAGGCACCCTAGAAAGCCCTTGTGTTCTGCAGACTCAACAAGCAGAGGATGGCCTGCCATTCCTCCTTTGATTCTCTAGCAGCAGCCAACTTGCAGACTATGACATAGGATTTAAAAAAAAAAAAAAAAAAAAAAAAAAAAAAAAAAAAAAAAAAAAAAAGTTGAACAGATTCACAAATGAGACTTCTTGCATTTCTGCTGCTCAAAGCTGTGAATCCTGGAAACATCAGTACGTGAGCTGACCTGCAGAGATAGGAGCTATGTGGCATCATTAGCTTTGAATAACATGGTTCACACACAGAAGAGGAAATAGAAAATTTAAAGCAACCTGTGGGAAAGGGGGGAGAAAGAACTGCATATTCACCAGTCTGCAGGACAGTAGCAGACTGTGAATACTCTTGTTTCACAGTATCCACTGCTGCTTTGAGCTGCAGGGCGTCTGTCTTACTGAAATCACAGAATGAGTAGCTAGTCACTCTCTCCAGATCACTTCAGAAATGTGATGCGCCAAGCACTTAACTGTTACTGAAGTACCACTGCTATTGTTGCACCATAATTAAATCTGCAGTAGTTCAAATCTGCAGAGTAATGAAAGCTGTTACCAGTTACAAGCAGGAAGTGAATAGAGTGACTTGAGTATCTTGTAAGCCTGTCTCCCCAGCCAAGTCTGCACATGGCCTTTTTAAGTCAGTTGCTGCAATGACTGAACATCCTAAACTAATTTTCTGGTAGTAAACAGATGGTAGCATGAGGTTTTACCAGCTATAGCAGAGTCTTCACAAGAAATCAGCGCTAGAACCTTTAACACCCTAATGAGGTATTTCTTAGGACTTCTCCAAAGAAGAAACATGGCTTTGAAGGTATTATCAGGTCTATCTAAAAGTAGGACACAAATATACCTACTTTGTTCCTGGGATGTGACAAGGCTGGAGCAGTCTGCTCATTCTCATCCTTATTATTATTAGTGCCTGTAATGAAAGACTGTGCACTGAGAAAAAGACTGGCTTGTGGAGAATGCCTGGATATTTCAAGCTTTGGTTCATAAACCAACTTGACTTAAAAATAATGCAATGAACTCATTTTCTCTATGCAAAATAATCATGAGCACATCCTCTTCATATATTCATACATATAGCTTGAATTTAGTTACCCAATTTCCCTCCAGTGGTAAATTTTTGGCAGAATCAAGTAATCTTGAATTTTTCCACATGCTACCTTCAGTAACACTGCAAAGGGAATAGAAATTATGGTAATGGACCCTGTTCAAAGTGTAACAGTGGGCATTGTGGTGTCCTACTCTTTTCCTCTGTGCCAACTATTGGCCCCTTTGGATTTCTTTGACACTTTTTCCTAGCTGCTCATTGTGTTGACCTTGCCTTTCATGGAGCCTTCTTAAACAATTTTGCACTTATGGGTGTGTGTGTGTGTGTATACAAGTGTTTATTTAAAACACTCGTATAACAATTACTGAAAAGAAAGCAGATCTGTCAAGCACAATGGACCTCTGTGCGCCTTTTATCACAATGATTCGTTCTGATTCAATTTCTGCTTCCTCTGGTGTCTGAAGCATTTAAGAGGACCTGGCTGTAACTTCTAAATAGGCAAAAAACAACCCTGCACCATAAGAAACGTGTATGCTAGCAAATAATTGTGCATGTTTATTTTAAGATGCATTTTATATTGGAGGGAGACACACCCACTTTGTGCTTACAAGGAAACTCTTGGGGAATAAGAATTTCTTTAGCCTGCTCCTCCCCTTATTGTTCAGTGCTTCCTTGTACTGACAAGGACGGCTTCCTCTCCTTCAGGCAAACTTGCATTCCAGCTTGGTTTTGTTCCTGACATGGCCCAAATAAAACTACTCTACTCTCCACTCCCGTCCCTCTTCACATTTGAGTTTCTAAGCAGTGAACGTAGCAGTTCTCCTGGAACAACAACCAACCCATACAGCCTTCACTGTTCAAATGATTATTTGAAACAACAGACATTCTGAGGTGGAGTATTACCTAAAATACTACAAGCACCCACTTTCAGATGTAAGCTACATATAGGAATTAGCCTAGAATTTAATTTAGGCATATAAGGGACTACATATACCTACACCCCTACCCCATTAAGCAGCTGGTTTGAGGTGAAAACTTAAAACACTAAGATTTCACAGTTGCAGGAACTTCTGCAGATTTGTCCCAGGCCTGTGGTCTTGGGACAGTGGCCCAAGAGAAATGGGCTCCATAGTTTAGATATACCAGTTCAAGATTTGAATGGCATCACAGTTGAGTTTAGGCATCTCTTATGCTGCCAAAAGTAGCTTTTTTTTAAACACACTTATGTAGACCTATGCTTTCTTCACTCCTTCATCATTAAGTCAGTTCAGATTTATGTCATAATTGGAGAGATGTTGAGAAAAGAGAGCAGAAATGTGTTTAGATGAAAGTGACCATGCAGATGGACCACACTGCAACAGTGGCATGTGACAGCACCAAAACTAGAATTCCAGTGGAAGCCAGTGCACATGAGTCCTGACTCTCATTGCTCCTGCCACGAAGAGCTTCAAGTCTATAAATGGAAAGTGTCTGAGAAACAGGAGGCAGATGAAGAATATCCAGACAATTCAATTGGAAAGTCTAATTTGGCTCTATAACTACATTCAGTTATATCAGAATAAA